TAGCTTCCTTGTTCTCTGGCAGCCCACAGAAAGAAGCAGAAGAGTTGAAAAAAACTGTATCAGAGTGTACAAAGAAAAACAGAACATACCATGGAAATGGTGGTGCACGCCTGTATTCCCCGCACTTGGGAGGCAGAGGCAGGCGTATCTCTGTGACTTCCAGGCCAGCTGGGGCTACAGGGAGACCTGTTTCAAAAAGACCAAAAAAAAAAAAAAAAAGAGAGACCTGATCCATAAACACATAAACATTTGCAAATTTAAAATTCTTTTTTTTCAAGCCGGGCGTGGTGACATACACCTTTAATCCCAGCACTCGGGAGTCAGAGGCAGGCAGATTGTTGTGAGTGTGAGTTCAAGGCCAGCCTGATCTACATAGTGAGTTCAGGTCAGCTGGACTACAGGGAGACCCTGTCTCAAAAAAAAAACAAAAAAATTTTTTCTCTTTTTTTTTTTTGGTCTTTTTAGCCTCAACTAGCCTGTTGACCAGGCTAACCTTGAACTCACAGAGATCCGCCTGCCTCTGCCTCCCAAGCGCTGAGATCAAAGGGTTCGAACCACCACACCTGGCCCCACACCTGGCTACAAATTTAAAATTCTTATCTCAGTGTTCATTCTTATAAATATCACATGTCCACTGTGCAAAGTATTCACTATAGTCATATTTTCTTTCTTTTGACCAACACTCATATCAAGGTACAAAAACCTTCCCAGAACCCCCAGGTTTTATCACCTCACATTATTTGTAATATAAAACAGTATAAATAATGTAAGTGTACAACCATAAAGAAAATGACCAAGTAACTGGTGACAAACATATACATAAAAAGGTATCAGGAAGCAGGTTTAGATGACTATTTAACAACCTGGCAAATATCCACATTAAAATGTTAGATATTAAAAAAAAAGTAGCCAGGAGTGGTGGCACACACCTTTAGTCCCAGCACTCGGGAAGCAGAGGCAGGCAGATCTCTGAGTTCAAGGCCAGCCTGGTCTACATAGTGAGTTCCAGGACAGCTGGGGCTACAGGGAGACCATGTCTCAAAAAGACCAAAAAAAAAAGTAAAAAGAAAACAAAAACAAAACACACATACATATACATACACACACACACACACATGCACACACACACTCAAATGTTAGGTATGAGAAAGGAGATTACAAAATTGTATTTATAATACAATTCCATCCTTTAAAAACATACGTTTCAGGTCAAAAGACAAGTTTTTTTTTTTTTTTTTTTTTTTTGAGACAGGGTCTCCCTGTAGCCCCAGCTGTCCTGGAACTCACTATGTAGACCAGGCTGGCCTTGAACTCACAGAGATCTGCCTGCCTCTGCCTCCCGAGTGCTGGGATTAAAGGCGCACGCCACCGCCCCCAGCAAAAGACAAGTTAATACAACAAAAAAATTTAACAATGAACTGTGCCAGATAGACTCATACATGACTTTTTTTCCTTCTATACTTTTTCTGTATTTTCTACAATGAACATGTCTCACCTATACAATCAGGAAGAAAAACTTAAACTTTTTTTTTTGCCCAGGCTGGCCTTGAACTCCAAATTAGCTGTGATTATAGGCCTGTACCACCAGACCACCAGGCCTAGCTTAAAAGTTTTTTTTCTTAAAACTGGGTTGAAACTAATGAGATGGCTCAGTGGGTAAAGGTCCTGCCACCAACCAAGTCTGGCAACTTGAATTCAATCCCTGGGACATATATGATAGGGTTTTGGGGGTTTTTTTTGTTTTTTTTTTTTTTTTGAGATAGGGTCTCTCTGTAGCCCTAGCTGGCCTTGAACTCCCAGAGATCTGCCTGCCTCTGCCTCCAGAGTACTGGGATCAAAGACATGCGCCACCACACCCAGCCTGAATCTTTAAAGTTGTCTATGTGTGTGTGTTTTATTTACAAATACATAAATGTAATTTGGGGGGAGATGACTCAGTGGGTAAAAGCACTTGCTGTGAAAGCAAGAAGACCTGAGTTCAAATTCCCAGAACTGACATAAAAGCTGGGCATGGCTACAAGTGCATGTACTCTCAGCCTGCTAGGTGAGAAACATACAGGTGAATCCCTGGATCTTACCAGCCAGCCAGCCTAGCCAAAATGGTGCCCTTCAGGGTCAATGAAAGGCTCTGTTTCAAGAAATAAGGTGGAAAGCGATAGAGGAAGACACCTGACATCTTCTTCTGGCCTCTGCATGTGTGTGTGTGTGTGTGTGTGTGTGTGTGTGTGTGTGTTCGATTCCCAGAACACAAGTACAAAGCATGGAGCACATGTAATCCCAGTACTGAGAAGGCAGAGAAAGGCAGATCCCTGGGGTTCTCTGCCCAGCCAGCCTCGCCTACCTATCAAGTACCAGGCCATTGAGACACTGTATCAAAAAAAAAAAAAAAACAGGGTGGATGTCTCCAGAGAAATGACACTTGAGGTTGAACTCTGTCCTCTACATACATACATACATACACACACACACACACACACACACACACACACACACAAACACACACATATATGTGCACCACTCACATATACAGATACCAGAAAAAAAAAATCTTTCAGACTTGGATATTGATAAAAGAATTTATGGAAAGTCCCTATCAGAGTCTGAGACAAAGTACTTAGAAAGCATTCATTCCTATTCTCTGTTCCCCATGTTTACAGGTCTGCATACTGTGAGCAGAAGCTCTTTCCCCAGATATGAACTTATACACTTCCTATACAATCCAAACTAAGGGTCATAAAGCAATAGCTTTTTTCATGAAGACTCATTCATTTATTCAAAAATATACTCAACATGTATTGCATATTTAGCATTGAACCAGATTTTGGGAATACTAAAAATAAAAAGATGCTATCTCTACCCTCAGGAAGCTCTGGCTAATGAGTTACACCAACATAAATAACTATAGCATGAAATAATTTTTTTTGAGACAAAGTCTCCCTGTAACCCCAGCTGGCCTAGAACTCACTATGCAGACCAATCCGACATAGATCTGCCTGCCTCTGCCTCCAGAGTGCTGGGATTAAAGGTGTGAGCCAACACACACAGCTTGAAATCATTATTTTTTAATAAGGATGCACACAAGTTACATAGGAACTCAGAGAAGTCTTCTATGAGTTGTGCAAGGGGAGACCATCAAAGGGAGTAATAAATAGCATGTGCAAAGACAAAGAAGCATAAAAGAGGACAGTTTCCAAGAACAATAGGTAAAATTCAGCTTTGCTAGGACATTAAAAAACAAGGGCAGCCTGCTGGGTGTGATGGCACATGCCTTTAATCCCAGCACTCAAGAGGCAAAGGCAGATGAATGTCAAGGCCACCCTGATCTACATATAGCATTTCAGGCCAGTCAGGGCTACATAGTGAGACCTTTTTTTTTCTTAAAAAAAAAAGGGGGGGGGGATAGCAGGAGATAAGAGTAAATAAGTAGATCACAAAGGTCTGTCACAGAAAAAAAAGACTAAATTTTATCCTGTAGAGGAACCACTGAGAGAATTTAAGCTAAGGAGTGACTGGATCAGCAGTACCAAAGATAACCAGGAATACTGGAAGACTTCTTTTTGCATGTATGATTCTAGGGCTTGAGTTTGAGGCCTCATACATGCTAGGCAAGAACTCTATCACTAAGTTACATCCCAAGCCCTTTGTATTTTTATTTGAGACAGAGTCTTGCTAAGTTGCCCATGCTGGCCTTGAACATGAGATCATCTGCCTCAGCCTCCCAAGTATCACTATAGATTAGATAGGACTGACATAAAGTAGCTGGAAATAGGTGTGTGCCACTGTGCCTGGCTGCGAAAATTATGTTTTTTTTAAAGACAATATCTCATGTATCCCAAGCTGACCTGAACTCTCACTATGACACTGCCAAGTACTGAGATTTCAGGTATACACCACCACACCCAGTTTATACAGTGGTGGGAATTGAACCTAGGGCTTCTTGCATGTTAGGTAAACACTTTACCAACTGAGCTACATCCCCAACCCTTCAGAAAGACATCTTAATCACCATTTATTTCCAAAGCAAAGGAAAAGGCCTTACCCCCAAATCTATCCCCTCTTAAAATAAGGCAGTTAACAGAACTCTATACCAAGCACACAATAAATAATCAGTAAAGATCAACTAAATGTGAATCTGGATGTGTTGCATCAGGACCGTCTCCACTTAGTTCAGGACTTTGGCAACAGTAATACTTTGATTTTGAGTATGACAATAGGAACAGCTCCTATGGAAGGGACTACTGAGAACTGAAAATTCTAGAATCTAACACACAGCAGGAGAAGGGTAGCATATACTGTTTTTATTAGACACCAGTGTACAAATTCCCCCAATGATAGAATAATATTATAGTTTTATTACACACACTAACCTCTCTGGAATCCTGGATAACAGGTGCTTGTCACACACATAATAGTGGTTTTTACTCCCATTGTTTTACCCAATATCCTTTTAAATTAAATTTAGTTGGATGGTTTTTCAGACAGCATAGAAATAAAATACTATTCCATTTCTGCCTCCATTTATTGCAAGCATGCAAGCTGCTTTACAGCCAAGAAGGTATTTAAATGAGGCTCACAGAAGCAAAGCAATTTGTCCAAGGCCACTGATAGTGAGTTACAAAGAAATCCATGTTCTTGGACTCAAGATAACTCAGAAATGCAGTACTGCCTCCCCCAAAGCCAGGAGATGAGGCAAAACACAACTGCAAGAATACAAAACTGACACTTTTGTAACTAGAAATCAAATACACATACGAATTTTCAAAATAAAAGTACACACAGGGAAACAGAAAGAGAGGAAACCAGAGACCAATATCAGCTAGGCCCTGGTCTGCCGGAAGGGATGGGAAAACCTGGGTCTGGTGGTGGGGAGCTGAAAGTAAATTGGGGAAAGGGGCTAGAAGGACCAGGAGTCAAAAAACAGGGCTGAGAAAAGGACAGCAAGTGAATACACAATACAGCTGGCCAGTGCACCCTGACCAGCCTGGCCTGCCCTTTCTTACCTGCCGTGAAACCAGTCCTGGCACATGTCACACTCGATCATGAAGCGGGTCACATCATAAGGCAGTCGGCAGAGGCAATACACGGGCACCGAGGCCATCTTCAGGGGGGGTTGGAGTGGTCTGCGGCGGGCCAGGTTTGTGGTCGGAAGGCGGCAGCAAGCGCCCTCCCTGGACGATGGCAGAGCACAAACACTTTTCACAAAGTGAACCAGGTCCGGGTTTCCGTAGCGTCCCAGGCCCCGCCCCCACCGCCACCCGCTGGGTACCAATCTTCACCTCAGAAATGGGGAGTCTCCAGGCGGGGACGCCACAACAGCCGGTGCCGGCGTCCGGCACCAGCGGAGAAGGTCCACCCGCCCTTTAGAATTTCTTTCACTTGGAAAGAACAGAAAGAACGTTCCGCGCTCTGCTCAGCTTCGCTCGGCCTTCCAAACGCCTCCCCCCCTCACCGCACCCACCCACTCCCACCTTCTCTGGCCCTCAAGTCAGTGACAACTTCTTTCCGGGTTTCATGTAAATATCTGAAGCCCTTCGGGAAGCTTTCTGTAATCCCTCACTGAACCCTCTTCCCTGCTGGCCTCTGGCTTCGCAGGCTCCCTGTATTATGACGCAAACCACGGCATAAAGAATGAGGCTGGGGGGGGGGGCTCAGGAAGAGAACCTCTGAACCCTCTGAACCCCCAAACAGGAGGAACCAAAGATGGGGAAAACCCTGCGAGTCTGCTCAGGCTACTCCAAAACTGCACGAGAGCCTTGAGGAACAAGGCAAACGACTAGGCACCCAACTCAAATCACAGTTGTGGGGCTGCCTTCGCAGAGTTCAAGGGATTCCTTTCGTCATTTTCAACAGCATTCCTTCCCTGCCCGTAAGGTGTTCCATTACCTTCCAAACCTAAATAAATCTCCATTTCGTCCTCTACTTCAAAGCTGACAGAGATCGCGTCGCACACCTGACACTAAAAAGGATCTCTTCCAAGCCCCAGGAAACTGACTAGAATTTTTCACACCCCTAAACTAAGCAAACATTGTTTTCACGGCTCCCAAATGGCAGGCATTTCCTTGCAGCCCCCTCGGACTCGCGAAGGGGCTCCTGTACCCCGCAGCTGCCAGAGATTTCATCTTTGACTCTAAAATTGACAAGAATATCCTGCTGTAGCCCCCCAAACTTACGAGGATCTCTTAGCGCCTCCCCGACTGACAGGAACCTTTTCACGCCCCAAACCTGACAAAATGTCCTCGGTCCCAAACCTACAGGGACCTCCTCATGCCCGAGGCTGCAGGGACCCCTCACGCCCGCGGAGCTGAGCCCCAGAGACTCGCCGGCGGCTGGACTCACTCCGGGGCAGCACCGCGCTTTGCAAAGCGGAGGCTCGCCCGGCAGTTCCGGCCCCAGAAGCACCGCGCGATGAATGCTGGGATTGTCACTGTAAAACTGCGAACCTTGCTCGCCTTCTCTAGAAGCACTCGCCGCGTCACGCAGTGTCTGTAGCCTGACGCTGCTTCAGGGTAGCGGTCTCCACAGAACTCCCCTCCGGTTCTCCCTTCTGGCCTACTAGAGACCGCAGCAGTCGAGGCCTAGTCCAGTGGCCGCGGGGCAAATCGGCTAGTGGCGTAGTCGTTGGGCAGGCAAGAACTAGCCTTCAGCAAACCAAGGAGGAATGAGATGAATCAGCCGCCAGGTCTGAAGAAGACGGCCCGAGAAGTCGCCAGAAGGAGCCCAATGGGCAGTGGTAGGAAATTTAAAGTGGTAGTCAATAAAGTTTATTCAAAATAACGAGGAAGTTGAGGCGGAGAGGGAAGGGGAAATATGGTAAATAGCTCCCATATTGAGAGTGGCGGAGTATCGTGAGGCAACTAGCCGACCGCCATCTTATGAGGACCGGGTACGGGAGGTGAACACAGTGGACTTCCGAACTGCAACCAGCTCCCGTGTGACGTCATCGGGGCGGGGCGACACCCTGAGAAAGGGGGGCGGTGCCCAGTAACCTTCGGATGCGCTCCTTTGGGCTGAGAGGCGGAGAAGCCTCCATCTTAGGCGAGGCAGGAGTTTAGCTCCATTTTGACTGGGTCCAGGACCCAGTTTGGGCAAACACTGTGTTAAGGAAATCTACCACCTTCCTCCTTCCTCTCTCCTAACACACAATGCTCCTCCCTAGTCTTCTCCTCCTATGAGAAGAGGTGAACTTGGTGACTCCAAATTGCAAAATTGATAGGTGGCCGCGGGGGCGGGCTTCAACCCGCTGAGAGGCGAAGTGCTCACCGCGGCTTCCATACACAGAACACATTTCAGCGGGTGGTGACCTTTTCTTTCCCACGCTTGGTATATCGTTTAATCTTCACTCCGTGAGATAGAATTTATGATTACCCCTAAATAAAGAAACAGGTTTAGAGACGGAAAGTGATTTGAGAGCCCGAAAATTGAACCCTGCACTTTTAGCTCCACGTTTTGTCGTCAGCCCTTCAGCGTAGTTCCTCTATTAAGGTGCCAACTTCCCAACCACTTCCAGGTTCTCTTCGCTGACCCTATTGGCTCAATTAAGTAAGGTGCAAATAAGAGTTCAGGGATTTCCATGTATCCATTCCAGGATTTTCTGACTACAGACTGGATGTATGGTGGAAAGGGACTTAAGAAATACACACCCTCAGATGCCAAGGAGCTCAGAAAGTAACCGACTGTGACTAGTAATAATCAGATATATAGAGATTAGAAATGCATGTGCAAACACCTTAATGTCAGTTGCATTAAAAATGAATGTTTCTGTATGAAACTCCGTATTTTAATAATGAAATGGAGATCTTTGTAAAAGGTTAAAACCTCATTTAATTTTATGTCTTATAGGGTTTCCACTGAGTACAATATTGTATAACTGTAATAATTCAACTGTAAACCTAAAGATTTATAACCAATTCTGAAAAAGATGCATCTTAGCTCAGAAAATTGTTACTGAATATGTCAATGCTGTTGTAATGAAATGCTTCTTCTAAGTATGTGGGTATTAAATAAATAATTAGCTGGGAAAAAAAAAAGAAATGCACACCTGTATTTCAAGATGGCGCTGTTCTCACATTAAGGAAATAAGTCTTTTACTAGACCACTTTCCTAAAGGCTCTCACCACTTTATAAAAGAAAATGTGTTTTAAAAAAAATTTTAAGGGCCTGGCCTGGTTGTACACGCCTTTAATTCCAGCACTCGAGGGACAGAGGCAGGTGGATCTCTATGAGACAGAGGCCAGCCTGGTTTACAGAGCGATTTCCAGGCCAGCTGGGGCTACAGAGAAACCCTGTCTCCAAAGGGGGGGGGGGGGAAGGGGGGGGGGGGGGTCTACATCCATTTTCTGACAGGTGACACGGAAACAAAGGCAACAAAGACCCCCCG